AGCGGCCATAAACCCTTCAGGGGGGCCGGAAACTTCGAAACTTTGGGAAACTCTGCGGAGACGACCACTGAGAGATGAAGAGGCCGCTGGGCGATTCTCAACAAGCGATGGGGAGTCGGTGTTTATGTTTGTATGGTTGGGGTTTGGTGACGCATTGTCGAGGCTTGGAAAGGGTTCGGTATCTGTGCCATTATAGGAAGGTTGCCCAGAGTTTGCCATGGTGGCTATGCGACTTGGCGACCCTAGATTGGGCGCCCGAAAAGCTGTAATTGATTGACGAGTATTGATACTATGTGCAATTGATGCTTGTTTCAGTGAATGAAGATGTCTATACAATGTATTTAAATAGGTAGGCAATGAGAGAGAATGGAATGCGATTGTGATCCACATGAACGTGCCTAGCAACGGTGGGACTTGCCAATTTATCTCCATCCTCTCTCAGGGTCTAATGCTAATGTGGATAGTGGATGCCAATCACTACCGAGCTACTCCGTACAACCTACCGTAGGTATCTAAAGCACTGAAGCTACTGACGGTTCACGGCAACGTCGGGGGGGTCGTTATTGGTCAATCAAAGGCAAAGCGAAGTTCCTGACTGAGACACAAAAGTCTAAACGACCCTAAATTCTCCTGGAACATGTGAATAAACGAATGCTCACTTCGTTCTCGTTCAATCTGAGGTGCATATACTCCCCACTCTTCAAAGGCATTGCTATCCACCTTCAATCGGTCCATAAAATAAAAATGCTAATCTTTACCTCGTCACTCCGTACAAGGTCTAGAATCTCCATCAATCTCTCTTACCACGGATTTTCAGCCATTCACTGTTCGTTCGTTACTGTTGTGAAAATCCTCGCCAATTTTCTACGCGCGGATATTTTTTTCCTGGTCGCAGAGCCGCGCCTCGCCCTCATACGCGTATTTGGCTTCCGCGCATACACTGCCTCTTGGCCCTAATCTGTATCATATTTCATCACTCGCCTCCCTTGGCACTCATTACGTGGACATTATATAAGGGTCAGTAATATTCGATATGCTCGACATGGATCCCTCAAGTGACCCGGTTTCAAACGTCACTTCAACAGTCGTATACAATCTGCAATATCAGCATGATTGGGTCTCCCTCAAAGTTCATGAAACGACAACTCAGCGACCTCTGATCAGAGGATTGCCGCCGAAACGGCTCTACACCCATCCTGATGACCAGATTGCTGCTCTGGAACGTGAGAGGGCTACCGGAGAGCCTCTGGATCAGACACCAGAGCTCGAGTGGGTGTTGGCAGTGCATCCCGAAGAAAAATGGTCTATCAAGAGATTCTCTGAGATATTTGACTCCATCGAGCACAATGGCCCACGAGAGAAGAGACTTGTCCTGGCTACCGTGCATAACGATTCCACGGTTGTCTACTATCTAATGCAAGAGGGCATGGTCAAGCCTCGACAAAACTAACCGTCGACATCCTAATCCGGGCTTGCAATTTGAACTACAATGTGAAAACTACTTTCTGCGTCTTACGCTGCTCAAAGAGAGTATATCCTTCAGGCGCCTGTGCGAGCGGCATGATGTGGTCGAACAAGAAGCTTGAGGTAATGTTAGCTGTTGAAGCATTTCCAACAGCAGCCCACAAACTCACCCAATCTGGTCTTGCTTCTGCTCCAGCAACTTGAGGGCTTCGTCAAAGACGCTGCGAACTGGGCAGCGACCCATCTGCACTCGAATGTTCTTTCTGCAACAAGGTCAGCCAGTCAGTTCTCTTTTTGGACCAATACACAAAGCATCACAAGACGTTACATACGTATACGCATCGTCGCCCGTCCACGGAATCTGCATAGTGATGTTAGCTCCTGTCTCTGATCAGCGTCTTGCTCTGATATCAGACCTCCTTGTTGTGGACACCGATGCTACTGATAGCACCAAAAGGTCGCACGATATCGAATGCAGTCCTCAAAGCTGGGGACTGGCCAACAACTTCAACAACCATATCTGCGCCTCGTCCTTCCGTAACCTCCTTTATTCTGGCTTCCAGCCCTGCTCTATCTATCTCGAAGTTCAGGGGCTCTGCACCGAGTTTACGAGCTTGCTCCAGGCGACTGTCGACACTATCGACGGCAAAAAGGTGGCGAGGCTTGAAATGGGTGGCCGCTAGGATAGCACAAAGTCCAACAGGGCCACAGCCTATGACGACCAATGTGGCATCTTGAATGTTCTGTGAAGGGATCAATTCTGCGGCGCTCTTTACACCATAGAATCCGGTGGGAAAGATATCTGCCATGAGGAGGAGAGCCTGGTCTGAGATAGTCTCAGGGGCCTTGACAGCAGTTGCATCAGCCATGGGAATCCGAACGTACTCGGCTTGTCCTCCGTCAAGAGTTTCACAGCCGAACAGCTGGCTCTCAACGCAACGGGCTGAGCAACCGTTGTTGCAGAAGAAACAGTTGCCGCTGCAGTTCCCGATGAGCACGAATACCGGACGGTGGAGGGGAGAGCTCACCAGGAAGCTGTGAAGGGGGCAACGACCTTGTCGCCGATGCTGATGGTCTTTACAGCTGACCCAATCTTGACGACCGTTCCAGTGAACTCGTGGCCCATGATGAAGCCAGTATCTGAAGGTTGATGACCACGATAGATGTGAAGTTCTCTGGGGCCTCTAGTTAGCAAATGGGACAACATGTTGCGGATAATGTCGTCTTTACGATCCACACAAGCCAGCGGCATGTACTTTGATAATGATATCCCTCTCATCGTGGACTATGTTGAGTTAGCTGTAGTCAGAATAGCACACATTCAATAGTGATGGGTCTCAAGCTGGGTGGCTTGTCAACTTACTCTGAGGTACTGGCCTATCCTGCACTGATACCTTATACAGACCGTCGAAAACGACGGCCTTCATGGTTGATGGCAAAGACATGGTGTTGGTTTATGGTTTCGTGAATGTCATTGACGATGATGTGAAACTGGCTTAGACAACTGACTATACGAATAGTTGCTCGTATAGGCGCAAATTGTACAGCAAACTCTTCGCAAAGGGGGCTAGTCACTTCAAAAGATATACCAATTGGGTTGATGTACTTCACTCAAAGATCGAAGAGTTTTGTAACGACCGAGGTGGGGTTGAGTGTTCCGCCATCGGTGGCAGATAGTAGGATTTGTGGTATCCGTATTGTAGTGGGGTATCACGATAAACTTGCAAATACTCTGTCTGCATGCTAAGGGTTGGGGTCTGAATGTGAAGTGTGCTTAGAATAACGAAACTTCTAAATTTGGGGCCATAAAAACGATGTGCGTGGCGTTTGCACAGTCAACAGAGTCTAGAGAACTATGGATGTCATTGACGGCCTATGGTGCGAATACCTAAAAGTACTCAGGCTTGGTGATCGGTTAATTTTGAGATGAATGCTACTGTAGCAGTTCCCGCGGGGCAAGTTCGGTATCTGGTCGTTACGAAACGGGACAGTAAAGACCAAGATCTGGACCTGATAATCTATATACTGTACTCCGTAGTAAGTTATATGTTATCAGATATTCGGATATTGATGTCCTCAAAGTTAAAATGAATTATCGGTTAATCGGACTTATAATGATGGCCAATAAGTACCAATCAATCCATCGTGGACTTGCACTTCTCATGTGGTACCCTGGGGTAACGAGTCAGTCACAGCAAAGTTCAAGCTAAGGCCCGGGGCACCCTCGACTAGGCCTAGACAGTTAATCTAGGTGTGTACCTGATGAACAAAGAAAGCCAATCATTGGTCAGTTTAGAGGCCGACTGACACTTCTGCCCAATATCGATAATGGACGGGAGCTTTAGAAGCATGTAACCGTGACGTGACAGATTCACTGCGTCATTTATGTCGTGAGTTTCTGTCAGATTTCTAGAACAAAACAAAGCCCCATTAATCAATTGTCTTTCTCTTTTTAAGTTACCTGCTACTGTTCCCAGGTAAGCACACATCGAGTCCTCGCTTACCTTACCTTACTTGTTATTGCATTGAACAAGCCAAGGATGCTCGCTTGCTTGCTATCAGCTTCCGCGGCCGGCAACGCAGAAGCGGTCATGGCATGGTCATTTCAATTCCAGGACAAGAGAGAGCCGCTTTTTGTGGGAAAATTGCGGAGGGTCCAATGACAGCACAAAACGGCCCTTTTTTTTAATCTTGCGACTCAAGACAGCCCCAATTGAGGCACGGACAGTGCGTGATATTAATCGATACACGGTAGCCGAATACCCCACAACCTGAAGGGGCACGCACATTGAGGTTATCCACTTTTATCCAAGTGTCCACTTCCCCTCGTCCAGCGGCTGGGGCAGTCTCCGGGGTCAGCCAATCAGACTGCGCTTCACAGAGCGGGACAGTCCGCTAGAAGGCGTTGAGTGCGTGAGATATTTATCTGACGGACAATGTCAGACGAGGCGGCTCTTTTTGGCTCGGCACAGATCATCACGCCTAAATACTTCCGAATGATCACGAGGTCATTTTTGAGACCGCCAGATGAGAAAATGTCAACGACGAAAAGAACAACAGGACGAAAAGACGAGTCGAATACTTTACGAGACATACTACCTTACCCTGTATACCAACTCTTTGCCCATTCGGCATCGTGCCAATGCACCACACACATGTCGACACGGCAGTGGATGTTGAGGCTTAGACGGGTGACCCCAGTGGGGTATCAAGAGAGGGGGAGGGAGGCCTCGGCGGATACATCCTGAATCTCGACCTCTCCTCTGGGCCATGACTTACTCAAGACTTAAGTCTGTAGCGAGTACTCCGTATACCTGAGACAAATGTGACAATATAAAGGAAAATCTCGAGTCCGAGAGACTCTCGCTACAGTTCAAGGTGAGGCTCATTCTGTGGTACAAGTGGCATCCAATCCATATCATCGAGGTCAGTCCGTCCGTCACACAACCTTCATGTATGTCGGTCAAGCGTGTGCAGGTAATAAAAGTAGACTCAAAAAAAGATCTCGCTAAAGACACACTACTTCTCTACTTTGAAAATGATCCAATTACTCACAGAATTACCCATAATGGCGCTGTCGGGTGGCCTGAACTAGCACAGAAGAGTACCAAAGCCAACCATTCAGCGGAGAGACTGCTCAGACATACGACGGACGTACCGCGTTCTGTCATTTAAAATTGTGCCCGCCCCAGGTCCCCAAGTCTGCCCAGTCCAGCCAGTGAAGGCCCAGGTCCAGTCCCCAGGTTCAGGGCTCAAGGGCCTGCCAGGCCAGCCGCAACAGCAGAGCCCCATCTTGGACCCCCTGTCCTCAGCCGACCTACCACATGTTACAGATAACCAAGGGCCGAATATTTACCACCTTTTACCCCATCCCGCATCTTCCCCATGCCAATGCCATGCTCCTGCCGGCCCTCGAGTTTGAACCCTTCTAACCTTCCCGGGACCCCAGCCCCGGCGAGTCCTCACTCAGGCCCTTCCCAAGGAAAGTTCTCTTCCATTCTCTCCCACTCACTTCCTTCCTACCTAATTCAAGCATCAATTCGCGGCGTAGTTGGCACTGTACTGTACTGTGCTGTGCTGTACTTCCCATTTTTCGTGTTGTAGCGTCCCCCGTCTCCTCTAAAACGGACTGCTTCTCAAACCCCGTAACATGGTGTCAACAAGTGGAGGCATACTCCATACTCACTAGGAAGGAGCAGGACCATGAAGACCTAGTAGCCCGGGCAGGTTAGCAATGTACTGTACATGGACAGATAGGGCTCCAGCTCCCAGGAATAACTTAGTAAATACATTCAATCCCCCGGATTTTTTACTTTGCTCCGCACTCTTCCTTTTGAAATAACTCGGTACATCGAGTTGCTCATATCTGGTTCCCGCCATTCACCTCAGCTGTCACCTTAATCTTATATATACGGCACGGCACCGTACCTCGCCTCATCTGGCTGCTGTGCTGTACATACATACCAGATACCCTACCTGCTACCTTACGTATCGACGCCTCAGGTCTGACCTCGAGGTTAATCTTGCCAATCAAAGAGTCCCTTTCCAGTATCATCTCACTCGGTCTTACTACTGGTCACATCCCCTGGGTCAAACGACAACGGAATAGCGATTCAACTCCGCTTCTCTCTCTCTGTGTTATCGCGCAAGCGCTCATTCTGACGATTATCATATCGACAAAGGTTGCACTACATCTCCCGAATAACGCGCATTATCACGGCTAGATTCACCACCGTATTTAGCCACGCTCTGTTCGCATTCAGCCTGGTACTTCAAGTTCACCGCATTTACGCCGCAAATCCCACCTAACCTGCGCTTACCATACTCGCGACTCACGTCCGACCTCAACCTGCCTGGACGACCTACCAACGCCAAGAACTTGATTGTTCTTATTTTAATGCCGCCTTGGTCGCATTTGTCACTCATGTTGAGCGACCAACGTTAGTATACGAATATTCGCTGGCAAGTCGTCTGCCTAGAGTCGTGCGCGCACATCCGCTGCCAATTCCACGATATCATTATCCGACCGATTCTTCTGTTCGCATCTTCCGACTCACCAAGCTTTCTCTGGTTGTCCAGTTACCGTTCAAGTCGCACCACGGCTATTCACTAGGCGCGAGATCCCGCCGACTGATCAAGAGCTCCCGAACGCTTTAACCCCCCCACGAGGGGCCATGGCGAGTTGAGCAACCACCGTCAACGCGACAAAGATGACCACAGCTACGCACCACCAGCACCAACCACCACAACCCCATCTCGGCTTCGTCGTCGATACATACGACCCGGATGACGTGGTTCCTCGAGGAAGCCCCCTCATGACCCCGCTTCGTCCAAAGCTCGAGCCGTCTCCAAGTCCTCCCCCAGATATTCCTGCTGCTCAAGTCAGTCTGAGTCCCACCTCCATCGACGGTCGCGGCAAGTCTAATCGCCACAAGGTTCGTCCCACTTCTGGGGATGCTGTCCTAGTCGCATATCTCGACAATGGACGCGATCCCGATATAGCACGAGAAGCTGCCCGCGAGAGTCTTCCATGCGACGAAGACTCACCGGATGAAGAGCCACGGCGAGAACGGGCCGTCGACGGCAATCTCATGAGCGGACCTCTGCTCCAGCACCTGGCTGCAGACGCTCTACAGGCTGCTTCTATTGCGACAGCACCGCCGTCTCTCGCTGCCTCGGTTCCAAAAACGATCCCCGATATATCTATACCGACTGGGCAGCTTTCCATCCACGACGAGTCCCCGATCAACGGTTTGTCTGCACCGCGATATATTTCCGGTAATAGAGTCACGTCGCCACTGATCTCTTCGTCTAACGGACCCTTACCGCCGCTTCATCATGGAGTTCGCGCACCAGCAGGCGAGTCCAAGGAGACTCTTCCATCACAGTCTCTCCCGTCTCTTCGTTCGACTTTTGGTGAGCTCCGAGACTTACACCCAGAGCGCCCATCCGAACAGGATCTTGGCCGTGTCCCTCCAGGTCCATCCTCGGCTTTCCCTACTTCTCCAGCCGCAAACCTAGGGCACAGATTTAGTTTGAATACTAATCTCCCGTCGTCACCCCGTTCACCACCAGATGGATACCGAACACTTTCTCCTCACTCTGCGCCAAGTGCGAGTATGCACTATTATCCAACAAATGGTAATCACCCTCGCGCTCCAACCGAATACAGTAGTAGCAATGCTGGCGAGACTCCGAATACCGATCACTCTGCTTCCACCCCTGCCACATCAACCTCGATCAACTCAACCTCAATTACTGATCGGATGAGTATCGATGGCATCACACATCCGCAGCCTCTTTCCGGCTCGTATACGTGCACAGTCACTGGATGCAATGCGGCGCCTTTCCAGACCCAGTATCTCCTCAACTCTCACATGAACGTACACTCATCCATACGTCCACACTATTGTCCAGTCAAAGGGTGTCCGAGAAGTGAAGGGGGGAAGGGCTTCAAAAGAAAGAATGAAATGATAAGACATGGCCTGGTTCATGATTCCCCAGGCTACGTCTGCCCTTTTTGCCCTGATAGGGAACACAAATATCCACGTCCAGATAATCTTCAGCGGTATGTGAATTTGCTAGGCCATATCGGTGCTTCAGCTAGATATGACCCTCGAACTCAAGTAATGATGCTGACTGCTCCTAGACACGTCCGTGTTCATCATATAGACAAAGACAAAGACGACCCGCAACTGAGAGATGTACTTGCTCAGCGACCAGATGGACCTAACCGTGGTCGAAGAAGACGCGGCCCACCGGCCTAAACGACTGTTGGTTGGCATACGGACCTGGCTGCTGAGAGCGGACGCTGAACGCGCACGATTAACGATTTACGCCAACCGAAATGTGATGGGAAGCGCTCTTTGCTTTGGCGTTATATGTATGAGTACCTGGCGATTTGACGGGTCGGGCGACTGAAGGCTCTCGTATGTTGCCAAAGGTCATTGATTAAGCGGAGTGAGGATTTGGAGGTACACACAAGGCGTTTAGGATCTCAAATACCCGGTTGGGTCAGATTTCGTTCATCATTTTATTTTCTAGGAGTATACCACTTGCGCCAGTGTGGCGTTGGCTAGCGAGCGTACACCTTGTTCGATTCTTCCTTCATATTCAGCATCATGCTGTGTTGAACATATATTTATCATTTCTCAGTCGATAGATGTATCCATCTTCTCCGTGCTTCGCATTTTGGTGCATTTCTTATGTAATATATGAACCCTACGTATGTATGCTCAAATAAACTGACCGGCACAGTGACTTTGGCTAGACGAGCGCCCATGGCCCTACGTTAACTGGCCCATCACTGTGAATCTCTATCTCAATACACTCTCCAACTTGAGGCGCGCCCATACTCTCAATCACTAACCACATGCCCTCTCGCTGTATCCTTGCTGGCTCCATGTCAAGCTCAGGGGTTCGCACGATTGTTTTGAGTTCTTCGTATTCGCCGTCGCCCGAGGTTGCGATCGTGATCCGCTCAGGATCCCATCCATGAGCCACGGAAACTCGTACCATCAGAGTGGATGAGGGTCGGTTACTAGGATCGAAGCCTGGGCTGGCGACACTTCGTGCCGTGACGCTCATTCGAGTTAACCAAGACGCCGATAATTGCGCACGCCTGACTTCTTCACCGTCTGAAAGCTGGAAAGGGCTCAGTGTCTTGCGGAGTCTCCCAGCAGCATCAGCGGGTACGGGTTGTACTTGCACGTTCGCCATGGATGAAATGCGGAGGACAAAGTCTGCCAATTGGCCTTGATCGAAGGTTGAACAAACCACAGTATACACTCCAGCATCAATATGTGGAATGTTGACTACTGCACAGCCTCTGCGATATTCCCCAGATGAGCCCGCAAGATCCCGAGCCTTGAGTGTCTGCACCCGCTTGCCCTGGGACCAGACTAGATCGATATGCACATGGATATCCTGCATATTTGTTGACAACAGGACAGATAAAGGCCCTGCTTGAGCAAGTGATAGCTTATACTGGGGGTTTGTAGCGTAGGTCGTGCAAGCTGCACTGCCTCCTGCAGTTCTCCTGGTCCACGAGCCAGTGATCTCCTTTGTGCAGGTCATTGCGTCTTCAGCTTCTTTGACTGCAAGCTGATCTTGGGAGAGGAATGAAAGAGTAAGCGTGTAGTCTGGTAGCGGGAACTCGTGCTGGTCAATGACGATGGTATATCGTTTCCCTGGGCTCGTGTCAAAACGTGCCAGAGTCTGCGGCGAGTCGACATAAGGTCCACGATAGACATCACCATCGCTTACTTGCACCCTGTGGCCGTCGTTGTCGAAGACGAGAATGCTCATGTAACCAAGTTGTCCAGAGACAGCTGCCATTGAGTCGGTCCTGTTCCGAGCAATTTCCAACTCTTCATCCACAAAATGTCTACTCACGAGAATCCACACTGGCCCGCCAGCTGATGACTGGAGTGAGTACTGTGGGTTGCGTACCAGGGACGAAGACAACTCCGGGGGAGGCATATGCCAAGTGAAGTGATGGTCCTGGCGACGGGGAAATAGAGCAGGATTCCAGTTCAGGTACATGGACTCGAAGTGTTGAAGGACATCCTCCAAGGTCATCCAGAAAGAGCCAGCGACTGAAGGAGGAGATTTGTGCTGAGACCTGGCGGCATATGAGGTTGGCGATTCGGCATCAAATGACTGAGGAAAGCCTCCTTTCCAAACCGGTCCGTCACACCAAGGATTCTTGACCAAAAGCCTCCGACTATCACCAATCATTTCAAGATCCATGACAGCATAGTCGTGCTCTCCGATAAGGCCCAGGATATCCTCTTCCTCGGCAGAGATTCGACCAGTACCCAAGGTTACCACCACATTCTCAGAGTCGTGTGCATTCTTGATTCGTCTCCAGAGCTTATCGACTTCCAGATCTTCTCTATAAGAGCAATTGAGAAGTGAGTCCACGTCGTGAAGCAAGGGCATGGAGATAGTGAATGGGAAGAGGGACAACAAAACGTGCTCACCTTTGGAGAAAGATCTGTTCCGGGATCCATCCAGTAAGAACCCACAAGTCTGTGCCTGAGTTACTCCCCGGAAAGTCATAGCCTCCTCTTACTTTCAGATATGCCTTTTCTAAAAGCGCTGGCCAAATCAGTTGAGGGTTGACTCGATCAACAACGTAGAGAGTTCGGTCACTGATGGAAGATGGAAGCCGCTCATCGATCACAACCCGGCGGAAGCACCCATTGAAGTATAATTTCAACACGTATTTGCCAGACGCCGATACTTTAGGTACGCCCTTTGCTTTGTCAAATGGATACAATATAGAGGAGAGAATCTGTTGTAGACTATCAGTGGGCGCTCATTACCATTGTATCTCGATACGCCTTACCGAGTTTCGACCAGTCAAGATCTTCATAGCGGCACATAAACTGGCGACCACAGAACAATCCGTGGTTACATCTTGAACCAGATCACAACCGCCACTGGAGTTCATGAATATGTCGTCGTGTGCTTCAACATGGTCGTGTAAGTCCCTTGGACGCTTCCATCCACCAAAGGTAGCGGCCTGCCTCGGTGATAGTGTGAAGGTTGCATTGTCACTATATCAAATTCAGCCGGAAGCTACAAAAGACTGGATCAGGGCAGGGGCTTCGTTTACGTGAAAGGCTCCTCGCCGGGGAGAAGTTGAAATTCGTTTTCCGAGGGTTCTTTTGTCCATGGGGGAAAGAGATTAGAGTGAAGTTTTGAAGTTCGTAACAAGACGCTGGGCGTTTGGGTGAGTTCAGCTTTGAGCTTCTCGGCCTGAGCAATGAGTTGTTGACATTTCAATCGCAAACGAGTGGCATCCTTTTTGTTTGAAGCCTCTCCAGCAGCTCGCATGTACAGCTCTGCAGCTTGAACGGCATAATCGAGGGCCGCTTGGCCACTCGATGTTCGAATGAGAGACTCAGTGGCCTGTGATATAGATAAAGATATAGGGTTAGTCGATAAATGAAGCTATATCGAGCGATGATGTAATCTGAATCGAGGTGATAATGATGGTGCTGAGGCAGATAAGATAGGCCATACGTCTTGGAATGTACTGACCTGAGCTCTCTTCTCCATTTCTGTTTTACTGAAACATGGCCTCAATCATTGCCAGGTTTGATTGATTGACATTGACAATGAATGAATGACTCGAGATAACAATCGAGAGCATAGAACCCCGCGGTGGGGGCTGATGTTTGCTGCGCCCATCGTATTCTCCACTCAAATGAGCTCTGTATCTGTAGCTGGAATACAAGAAGCGTCACTCGAGTGGGAAATACTTAACATATCTTCTAAAAAGAACGAGATAAGCTGAGTATTTAATATCTATAAGTACTTGCTTTGTTTGTACGCCATGCCCAGGGTTCTCTCACATCATATGATTTATACTTTTCAAACCGGCCATTTATTTAAGCATATTTAGTCCATGATGTTATAGGGTATATTATTTCGAACGTGAGTAAGTCTGAGCGCATACGCAGAAGGGAGTTTAACCTATGCAATAGACGTTGACGTTTACGTTGACGTTTACGTTGAGGTTTAGGTTAAAGTTACAGCTGATCTCATTTCATCTGCAGTGTGCATCTTATCTCCATAATAACGTCATTAACCATCCATGGTATCGCTAGCGAGTTGGTAACGTAGGGAGGCACAAGCCTGAATCTCCCAAAGTCTTAGGGAGGAGTCTCACTAACCGAGGTTCCATCCCGCGGGTCAAATCACAGGCGGGGGCCCACCAAATCTGCCGAGACCGGTAGACTCGAACCTCGGCCCCGAACCGGTAGCGGACGGGACGTTTAATCTTTGTGTAGATAATCATGGACCGGCCCAGGAAGTACAACATCGCGATAGAATAGACATTCAGTGTGAGCTGTGTTTTCCCCCTCCCCATATTGCACTTCAACAAGATCTCCTCTTTGTTCACAGCTCATCCAATATGGCTGCGCAATCAAAGCCTGAGATCTCCCCCTGGGGTCGCGCTGTCGCTGGAGCTACAGGTGCTGTTCTTGCGAATGCGCTGGTCTACCCCCTTGATATGTAAGTCATATATTCTGATATGGTGCTTGTCTCGTTCTATTTCAAAATGCTGACTCTAGCATAGTGTCAAGACTCGTCTTCAAGTCCAAGTCAAGCCCGATCCTTCAAAAGGCCCTTCCTCCTCCTCCGAACCACACTACACCTCGACTTGGGATGCCATCTCGCGTATTGTCGCCGATGATGGAATCAAGGGTCTATATGCTGGCATGAATGGCTCTCTGATCGGTGTTGCCTCAACCAACTTTGCCTATTTCTACTGGTACACCATTGTCAGGACCCTGTACTTCAAGTCTCGCAAGACAGATGCGCATCCATCTACCGTCGTCGAACTCGCTTTGGGTGCTATCGCTGGAGCCATTGCCCAGGTCTTCACCATTCCTGTTGCTGTTGTTACCACGCGCCAGCAGACGGCAAGCAAAGGCGACCGAAAAGGTCTCATAGACACAGCCCGTGAGGTCATTGATGGCCCAGATGGTGTATCAGGTCTCTGGCGTGGTCTGAAGGCCAGTCTCGTCCTTGTTGTCAACCCTGCCATCACATATGGAGCATACGAGCGACTAAAGGACACACTCTACCCTGGCAAGACCAACCTGAGACCAGCAGAAGCTTTCTGTAAGTTTCCAGCAAAAAATGATCTATCTATACACATGTGCTAACTGTTGCTGGTAGTATTGGGTGCCATGTCTAAAGCGCTCGCAACCATCGCTACCCAGCCACTTATCGTGGCCAAAGTTGGTCTCCAGTCCAAGCCTCCACCGGCCCGAAATGGCAAGCCCTTCACCAGTTTTGTAGAGGTGATGAAGTTCATCATTGAGCACGAGGGTGTACTTGGTCTTTTTAAGGGTATTGGACCGCAGATCTTGAAGGGGCTCATCGTTCAAGGCATCCTCATGACCACAAAGGAGAGGTAAGATTCACTCCTTGACACGCAATTACTCGCAGCGACTGATTTTGTTTTGCAGGGTTGAGCTCATGTTCGTCCTTTTGATCCGATATATCAAGTCTATTCGCCTTCAGAAACTCAGCAAGACTGCTGAGAAGACTGCAGCTGCAGCCGCTGCACACAGTGTTGCGGCCAAACCCGTCACGGCAACATAGGCAGTGGACGGTTGATCCTTAGAAACAGCATCGGTGTTTGGGATATTGAAATTCTGCAAATTGGGAATAGAAACGGATTGGTGTTTTGTGTTTGTACGTTTTGCGATAGTAATAAGCGCGCACTATTCCTCCTGATGATGGTAAAATCTTCAACCTGCGTTGGAACCAATTATAGTATATAGCAATACGGACCATTGAACCCAAAGACACGATATTGTTGGCGAGCTGGTGAACTCTATGGCTGATGTTCCTCTGGCCTTTCTGACACCTCTAGAGCATCGGAGCAGAGACATGAGACAATCAGCGGAATGAAAAGGAGTTTCTCTAATCGAGCAGCAGATAGTTCCCTGTAAATGTATCGTGTCATTGTTGTTACTCTTAACGTAAACCGCCATATATGAACTCAACATTGATTTGAGGCTACTGATACTGACCCCAGCTAGTCAGTGATTCTGGCTCAGATCCAAGGTGGAGAACTCAGCACGTGCAAGCCTGCCCTCCACCTCATTAGGTCAGCAAGAATGCCCCACAACGTTTCCCTCTAGGGCTTGAGGCTGGAATCGCACACAAATCTACCTTTCTCCTCGCAACTTCGTGATCCGTCTCCGTCGACACAGGGAATCAATCAGCAGCAATGGCGAGTACGTGCAATACCAGAGAGTGCTTCAAGGGAGATTCATAGATCACTGACATTGCCGCAGAGTCAAAGAACAGCTCCCAGCACAACCAGTCGCGCAAGGCGCACCGGAACGGGTAATTATCTCGAATTTCCCAACATCGTCGACTGTTGCTGACTCTCGCGCAGTATCAAGAAGCCCAAGACTTCTCGTTACCCCTCTCTCAAGGGTACCGACCCTAAGTTCCGACGAAACCACCGACATGCTCTTCACGGCAACATGAAGGCCCTGGTACGAAACGCACTCCCCGAACAATCGACATTTGTCTGCGCACGAAACAGCTGGCTAACAAACTATACAGAAGGAGGCTAAGGAGGGCAAGCGCGAGACTGTCTAAGATATTGGCAAAGGAAAACGGAGGCGTCAATTTGGAGCATTCGCATTGCTCGGTTACGGCACACAAACGATAGAACTCACGCAAAATGAAACGATGGAAATACATACCATGCGGTTAGCCCGACGAGAAGGTGGTGTATGCCGATAGGTCCCGTCCTGGCGTTCAACGTTTTGATGGCCCCGAGTGAAGCATGTTGCTTGGTTTCCATTCCAGGAACATGAGGTAGTAGACGGAAAAACTTCTACCTGAACTCCATGCTACAAGGTCCAACCACTTTTGCTATTCGCTCGCAGTGAAATTGCCCGTGACATGCTGTCCAGAACCTAATCTGTCCCATGTATCGTTAGTCGAATCGCTGACCTACCTATTCTTGTGACTCGCTAGCAGTGGTCATGTACCCTGAATTTCGAGCTGCACCATACCCCTGTTTCAAATGCTTTATCGCTGAACCTGTCGTTCGATGGTTGCTAGAATGTGTGTTTCTACTCATGTCTCAACCTTGTGATAGATCTGTAGTACGCATCTCGTACCATCTCATCATCTCAGTTACCTGCTATGTACCGGTAATCAGTATAGTTCTTGTGAAAGAGGATTGGTTCCTAATTGAGCTATCTTCAACCTGACTAGACCTTTCCTGGAGACTCTATCTCCGTTTCGATCATGGCTACTGATAGCCAAAACACGTTTTGCCACTTTGAAACCCTGCAGCGCCTGAGGCAACAATGTTTATTGGCAAGGATTGATGGCCTTTTTTGCTACCGATAGGCCCGTGAGCCCTTGGCGGGCGGGCACGCACACCCCGATTAGGTAAGCCCAGGGGCTGAGGCCTTCGCTGCAGGCTAGGTGCTAAGTTATCGGAACACGAAGGCATTCTCTTCTGCTTCCGATCATCCCTCTGTCCTTTGACGAGCCCATCTCTACAGGACGCCGGTCCTTTACTTCATACGTCGGCGGGGTTTAATCAGGATTTCTGTGGCCTGCCTGGAAGCAGACTTCGTCCCTTCTTTGACTACCTGTACCTACTTAGGTGTCGTTTATACTCGTATGACGCCTCCCCTCTCTCCCCTGCTTCTGCTTCTGCTTCTTCCAAGCTTGTCGTACCAGCTTGGAAATTTTGTCAATAAAGGACTATCTGCTGACATTGGTACTCGCAGCACTGTTCGTCGTTTGGCAGATAATGTTCTAAATTTCCTGCCTTGCTTCAAGTCTAAGCTCCTTTGAGGTCAGCCGGTCACTGCAGGAGTCGAGAGACGATTCTTGTAACATCTTTGCTTGCCGCCGTCATATTCTGCGCACGTCGCTATTTACTACTACCAATAACCCTTTCGAAACCACCGACCCTCGATAATGCTCAACATGTCTGGAAACCACGTCATCGGAAACAGAAACAGCACGCCCGAGGCCAATAGCACCTCGACCTTGCGGCCGCCGTCTTCTCGAGCCGTAGGTTCTGGTCATTCACTTCGCGCCTCAGCCGACATGGCGTCCCTCACTGGCCCTTCCCCCTCCAACCGCATTCGACCCTCCTCCGATTTCTATGGACAGGCTCAGCAGAACCTTGGCCCCAACAACGCTGAATCGGACTCTCAGGACAAGATTGCCCAGCAGTGGATCGCGGACATTGACCAGTACGAAACGACGCTGGAGGAGATGGCTGCTGCTACTCTGGACCAGGATTTCAAGGACGAGCTCAGTGCCATTGAGCAATGGTTCCGTGTCTTGAGCGAGGCTGAACGCACCGCTGCTCTGTATGCCCTCTTGCAGCAGACAACCCAGGTTCAGATTCGCTTTTTCATCCAGGTGCTCCAGCAAATGGGAAAGAATCATCCCATGTCAGGGGTTCTGTCCCCCGCCAGCTTCGACAAAGGTATGTTCGTTGCGACATAAGCCTTGATTCATGCCTAACCTGCTATTTTCTCAGACCCTATGTCGAACCGTCTCAGTGATGCAATGAACAAGCTCAATGTCGACTCTGCCCGCAATTCCATGGTTCGTAATTCGGTTATCGCCCCATCCAACAAACGACATTCAGGACTCGACCCTTCTACCATCAGCGCCATGTTCCCCGATGCTGCGGCTGCCATTGCCACCGAGAAGGCCAAGTTCACTCAGCAGACTGGGAACCCACCCTCCTCGAACCGCAACAGTGCCGCTTTGGATCATCGTTCGTCCATGGCTGCCCCGTCTATCAGTGCGCCCCAGGATAGCCGTGACGCTGGACCTGCTAGTTCTTCGCCTTGGAATAGTGGCGGGAACACAGACTCTGGCAAGGCACCCACTGGTCAGGCCCCTATGGGTCAGTTTGTGCAGCCGACACCGTCAGGTGGACTCCGCTCTCCGCGTCCGCAACTGTCAAGCAACAATACGATCCAACAAACGACTCTTACTGCCCCGGATAAGAATCCTGGGGACTTGCCTTTGCTCTCACCGTACAATGCTGGTAGCGGCAACTGGGCGTCAATGGTTAACACCCCCATGACTGGCACCTTCAACACAGCCAATACCGGAGGTAACCAGGCCGATATGGTTGCTAACGCCACTGCTATGAAACTCGCAGCTTTGTCTACAGTCAACAATCGATTCGCGTTGGACGACGTGCGCAAGTACCGTCGTACGAGGTCCAATGATGGCACGCCAGGACAGAATCCTGTCTCCGCTGGTCCACAGCCCGGAATCAATCTTCCAAATACAAACGTTGTCATGATCAATGAGCATGGTCAAGTCCTCAGTAGGGAACAGCTCATGGCTCTTCAGGCACAGCAAAACCTTGGTTTGGGTGGCCAGCGTTCTCGTCCCAGCTCTCCTGGGATTGCCATGCAACCTGGAGTGCCTCATATGGCCCCGTTCACTTCACCGCAAAACAATGGTTTCCTTAGTGCGTACGACGTGTCCTCACCATTGATTACTGGCGGTATGCAACCGGTCAACTTGGGAGGCCTTGGAATGCCTGGTCACGAGGGCTACTTATCTGACCATTCGGACATGGTTCGCGGACGATCTCCTCGTGGGAGGCGAGGCAGCTCTAAGCCTCCCGAGGACCCGACCGACCCAACCCTTCTGCAGGATATCCCCAGCTGGCTTCGCAGTCTTCGCCTTCACAAGTACACCGATAATCTCAAGGACATGAAGTGGACAGATCTTATCGAGCTGGACGATAAGGCCCTGGAAGAGCGCGGCGTCAACGCCCTCGGTGCACGCCGAAAGATGCTCAAGGTTTTTGAACAGGTCAAGGGTAAGTGCTTTCAAGCCATTGTTGCCTGAGACCATGTACTAATTATATCGCAGAAGCCAAGGCCGATGGAAAACTGGGCTAGAATCACCACAACCGGGCATGCCCATATATAGACCTGCGAAAACTGGACGTGGAGTGGTTCAACTTTGCACACATTGTGTTGGACATGGGTTACAATCCTGTTACAATTCTGTTACAGACTCGATTTAGTATTTTACAGAAAGATGGAAGGTCGCTGGGGATCAAAATTAATAGTTCGAGTGCGAAAACTCATGAATTTCCACGAGATCATGTTGTTGATAGTGACGTCTTGCCTTATTTTGCATATATAAGGTTTATTCACCTCGTCGTTCCTTATCCCGGTGGCTTAGTGATAATGAATTGTGCTTTCTCTGACTCTGTTGGTCGGCAGCTACCTTGCGTTTCTGCCATATTTTTGATTGACTGTCTTTCTAAACACATATTCGTCCAAGTACTCTAACATCTGTTGTTCCCTAGTTAATAAGGTTGGTTCCGTGCGCTTATTTTTGTCACGTGCCTGCAGCAGTGTTAAGCCACACTCGGGAGGCCCGCCACAGCCATCCCATCTTTGTCAACGTCGCGACCTCTTCTAAGTTACTAGCACTAGACACACCATCTTTGTCCAACCACATATCGTCCACATCCTAATATTTTGTCTCCAAGCGAGAAAAAGACACAATGGAAAGGTTGGTATCAGTTCTCGTTGAAGAGATGTAATATGCTGACTGAAAGCAGGCAACAAGACAACGCCTCAGATGCAGACTCTGACTTGGAGGAGCTGGAGGGAGATATCGCCAAATTAGATGAGACTGTTCGAACCTTTTTGGCAGATCAACGGGGTGAGAATGATCCTTCGCCTGCGGCCCGTGGACTTCCACGAGGAAAAGGAGCACGAGGTCCACGAAAAGCAGCAAAACCTCGAGGAGACATCACAGCACGACTATCGAAAGTAAATCAAGCTTTCCTGAGCGGCGACTATTCACTAGCACTGGATCTTGTTTTTGAAGTTATCAGAATCAACGCGGAAACGCACCAAGCATGGACGACTCTATCATCGATTTTCCGTGAGCAAGGTGATATGGGCAAATCGTTATCAGCTATGGTCTATGCTGCTCATCTTCGCCCAAAGGACGTGAACGGTTGGCTCCAGTGCGCATCATTTGCACTGGAGAACGTTGCAGATGACGAAACCGGAAATCTCAACACCGCAAGGCTTTGCTATTCTGCTGCGCTGCGGGCCGATCATACGAATATCGATGCTCGCTTGGGCAAAGGCCTAGTCTGTCACAGACAGGGCCATCTTGCAGCTGCCATCTCTGACTACAAAGTTGTTCTGGAGCATCGACCCTACGACCTTGAAATTGTCAGAAAACTTGCCGAAGCTTGTGTTGACAACAAACAAGCCGAGGCCGCTGTTCCGAGCGCAATTGCAGCCTACAAGCGGTTCTTTGATCATGAACGGACGAAGCCGCAGATGGAAATTATGGAAGCCCCATGGCATGATATTGGAATCTACGTGGAGCTTTTTGCATCGACAGGGCGCTATCAGGAAGCTATACAAGAGTCCAAGTCACTCTCTCGATGGCTATTGGGGAGAGCGGCAGAAGAATACTGGGATCAATGGACCTCTGACGATCGCGAGTGGGATATGGATGACGAACGACGGGCTGCTGTCTCGAATTTCACTGCAGGAGTCTGGAGTCCTGACAGCTATGGTCAGTCGTTTCCTTGGGACCTGCGTGCTCGATTGGCAATATA